ATTTGAAACTGTAAATTATTAGTTTATTTATTTGTAAATTATTAACAAGAATACATTTTTATGAAATTCTAACTCAAAATAGTTTGTAATTTTTCGTGATTTGTACGCATTTTACATTATTCTACGGGTATAAATATTTTAATGGGGAATTAGGGGACAGAGTGGCCGAGCGGACTAAGGCGTCGGCTGCGACACAGCCAACGCTCGTTCGATACCTCGGCCGGGGGAGGCATTTTTCTTGGGGCAAGTCACGGTGTCCGGAGAATAAGTGCCGTCATCCCCAACCCGGGCATGGCCAAATCAAAAATTCTGCCAAAACAAACACACACGTTTAAACAAATTTGCAGTACCACAGGCTAATAACCTAGTAGTTGAAGCCTTAACCCTAATAATATTTTAAAAAAAAATATTTTAATTTATGATAAAAAGATTTTAGGTCGAAACGCCGACCTGGGTCACGTCGGTGCGGATTGTTATGGTTTAAGCCTCCTCCACAAATAGGTATTATATATATATTGTAAAAATATTTATTTTGCACCATAAAATTAATAATAAAAAAATACTCAGTAAAAAAACCTCGTGGGTCTTAACAAGTTCGCGACACTGTGTGCGGTCGTAAAAAACCAATTTTACGACTTTCGTGCATATATAAAACGTTCGGAAACAATCGAGTTTTGTCTCTGCCGCCTTTTTATCCTAATTGCTTACGATGGTGTAAACGTTTTCATTCACACGCCGTGTGGTTTTCATTGAAATTCGATTTCTTTTTTTTTATGTTACACGTATTAAAGTCTCAATAAACAATGTTTATTGTTTATACTTACAAGTGTTCCATTAAGACTTAAACAGATGTTTATAAACAGTATTTATAATGATTGATTGTTTTTCAAACACATCTAATTATTTTTCTTCCTTTTTTGTGATGGTATGTTGTACTTACAATATTTTATTATTCAAAATTTCAATTTATCTATCAATCAATATTAAAGGCAAAAACAATTACTTACGTTTTGTTTTAGTAATATTTGTTGGTATCCATTTTCGACAAATTATACTTAATTATTATAATTTATTAGATTAGAACACCCCTATTTTATATTAAAATAAAAATGTTAAACTATTCTCGAATAAATTAAATATTAAGTATGGTATAAATGATAAATTCAAAACAGGTTTAAAAATCGAAATCCAAACTATAGTTATTGTAAAGAACTGGATGGTTGGTTTATATATATAGATAAGAATTTAAGGTTTATAAAAAAATATAATCGTGTTAATATTCACTATGCAATGTATGCCGTGTGTTAAATATGTATAATATAGAGAAGAAATACAGAATTTCAATGGAGTCTCATCTTTATATTATATTACCTTAGTTAAAGGATTTTTTTAACCGTTATAAAATATACAATTTATTTAAACGTAAAATATAAGTGTTACATACCTACAGTCACGATGGTTGCTAATGTGTTTATTTAATTTATATTTTAACAAATAATATTATCTTTATTTTATAGTAGGTTCCTAGGTAGGTACTAAGATTGTCGACAATTTATTAAACAATTATTTTTGAATGAATGTTGGATCTTCTTCAGACGGAGTAAATGTAGGCAATATGAATACAATTGTGAGCGTAATTCAAAATACTACAATGCCTACAATACACCGTTACTATTGTAAATTAATATAATTATTGTATGAAGGTTAATTTAATTTAAGCTAAGTTAATTAATTTTTTTAATTTTTTAATATAATAATAGTACCTACTACCTATCTACCTATAATTAATTTAATGCTAATTTTAATTTAATTAAAAACAATTTGTATTGAAGATTTTCTAGGAAATCGTATCATTTATTTTATTTCAGGCTCTTGTACAAAAAAAATATTTTTTTTTCAAAATTAAAATAGATTTTTATTTTTTTTTAGTAATATTATTATGTACTTATTGTAATTTTAATGTTTTTAATTAAAAAAAACTGAAAAAAATAGCCCAAGTACCTAAGCCCAACCCCTACCCGCTGGTCATTCACTGTTTGATGAAATGTCTATGGTTTTTATTTTTTACTTTTCTATTAAAATATTAATTGGTATACAAATGAACCAATATAAAATATTTCATAAAAACGTATAATTTTAAATAAATCGATATTAATTTTACAAATCGTTTGTAATTTTTTTTTACTTTTAATGGTTTTATTCTAATCCATAGATTCTATAGAAAATGCGTTCAAATCATAAAAAAGCTTTTGAGTTAACGAATACACGACTTTTTGGCACGGCTACGGCCCCTATCGAGGGCGGCGCCGGTTTACTATGTGAATCAATGGACCTCTTCCGGTCTAATCGGTTGTGTAATATACATGTATGTATGTGTCAAACTCACTCATAAATTTGTGAATATGTATGAGAACTGTTTGGTATCTCTAGTAAATAATTTCTCTAATAAAAAATCATTTTTATTTATTTTATCTTATCGTCACCACTATCAGAATAAGTTGTTTTAACTGTCCGGTGGGTCTAAATGTATTAAGGAAAGATGAATTACAATAAATCAAGCACTCTTTTTTTTCATTCTTATTATTCTTATTTTTCGGAGAGAGGAGACGATCGTATTTGCTGATAACAGTTTTCGTCACATATGTTTTCTCAAACGTGCATGGATTGATGAGTTTACCCTGTTACCGGTTTCATCCCGTCGACACAACCCCGTCGTACCCATCCAATTATACAGTACAAATAACGTTTTATTATTATTAACGTCGTAATTAAGTGTTGTTGGTTTGCAAACAAAACGTCGGGGACTGCTATCTTCAGCAGTTAACATAAAATAAGCTATTGATGAGGCAGTGGTGGCGGCGGACTGCTGTTGGCCATTAAAATAGTTGAGTCTTGCAGAGTCACACACTTTTATGTGTTCCATTCATGATAGATTTATTGGCGGGAATTCAGTGCCACGACAGTGTATGTATATACCATGTATAATATGAGAAAATGGCTTAAATCCAATATGATATGTGTGACCAAGAATTAATTTAGGCGTTTCCCACTGGGACTCTTGAGTTAATTTTGGATCGACATAACAGACAAATTGTTAAACGCGTTTCAGATGTAAAATTAAAATACATATACGCAGCTATATATTATTACGATTATTCCGCAGTCTTAAGTGATGAGTTATCAGAAATTCGATAGCTTAATCATTTAAAATAATGTATTCTAATTTCTAACCTAATGATTTCAAACGTACTTCTAGAATAAATTAAACATTATGCAAAATTTATGAATTAATAAAACTATATTTTAATTTAAGCTTCGGGGTGATCATTAATTTTTATTTGTAAATATTTAATGACAATATAAAATTAGAAAATGTATAGTGATGAATTCTTTTTATCTTTTAGTTTATACATATTTTGATGAAACTTTTATCAATGAATATGAGATACAGACTAAATGTTTAGACTATTCATTGATAAAACCATTATTAGCTGTATACAACTACTATCAAACGTATAATAAAATTAAAACTAACAAAAAGTTATTTATAAATAATTAACAATAAAAAAAAATACATCACTATACATTTATTATTTTTATTTTGTCATTAAATATTAACTAATAAAAATTATTGATCACTGAGAGGTTTAAATTATAACTATATTAATTCGTAGATTTGCACAATATTTTAATCTACAAGACAAATGAGATGAAAAAATTGTTATTTATTTAATTAAACGAAAAAATATAATTTATTTTGTATGAAATATAAGTATAATATAGCTTCATAATATAATATAGGTATTGTGCTTATAATGACAAATAACTATTAATTTAAACTTAATACAATTTTTAATAGCATATTTAATATGGGTGTATAACATAATAGGGTGGACAGAATTTAAACCACTGTGAATTTGGTAACACAAGAATCACAAATATAAAGGAAACAAATGTATATTTGGGACTTGGGTGCGTAGGCTTTAATTACTGAAGACCTGCAAACCAGTAGTAAACTAGTGACATGGAACAAATATGTACAATTGTACATATTTAAGACGTCTCATGTGTTTGTGGTGAGTTACAACTACTACAGGGGATTGGGTTTGGGTTTTCGTTTATGGAAACTCCATTCATAATTCTTTGGAGGCAATATTGAAGACCGGTGTCTCATTGACAATAAACGAACACCTGGGCAATGCCGCCATCACCCGTGAGCAATTATGTGAAAGAAATAACCTAAGGTCTTTTTGATAGAATTTATAGTAAACTCGTTGTAATTATATCTAAAGAAAAAAAAATCATATTTCGCTCGATTAAACACTTTGAGGTCATAAATCTGGACATTTAATACATTTAATCTCTTCCCCGGTATTGAAATAAGGTTCAATTTGACTAATAACTGTTATTAAATACTAAATAGACCAAGTGCTGCAATTGTTAAATTGTATAGGTTCCTATTGTAATATATCTACTGAAATTCAAGTTTATCACCGTATTGTTATTTACGTGTTCTTAAAAGCGAAGTAATTTAAATTTTTTTTATCATAGAACCAGTTATGAATGGATCTTGATTACATGCATATTATTTAGCCCAGATTCCTCGACGAATAATAGTCGATTAGATATGTAGTATTTTCTCTGCATTCTTACTGTCGGTTGTCTCAAAAATAGTTTGCTATATTATTATTATATACTGTTAAAATATCAAGTTTTACACGTGTGCACTTAGCTCATGACTATTATTAGTGACCCTAGACTGAACCGATTTTATTGGAAACGTGTGATACGTATACATAATACACAGTCGTTAAAAAAGTTTTGGATAATAACAAATTTTATATAATAATTATACCATGTACAGAAGAGAGTAAAATTTAGTTATTATAAAAATTGTTATTAGGTATTTGGTTATTACATTTTTAGGGGGGAATTTGATAAAATACAAAGCAACTGAGCATAATATTAGAATATATTATACAATTTAATTTTAAACAAAGTTAGACGTTTCGACGCATTTCGATGCAGGCTTTTCGGTCGCGCGCCGTGGGAACACATGCGACGGCGTGCGACGCTCCGCGGTACATTTGATTCGTGCCTAAAAGATCGCCTCCGAATGATCCTATGGGTGAGCCGCGCCCTTGATAAACCGACGAGCTCTGACGATCCTCACCATTCCCACGGCGCGTCATCTGTGCGATACCGAGCGCACCCGAGCCGTGGGGCTCTGCGCGTAAAAACGCATCTGCGCTCGTCTTGACGATTTTCGATTCCGACATTCCTGTCGGTTTTTGGATAACGTTTTGTCGTGTGTGTGTGTTTCTTTCTGTTTAAGTACCTACACAAACGTTTTTTATTGTTATAGTCTTAACATAATAAACACAAACAAAATACAAATAAACTCTGAGGTATTTACGCCGGGTACGGAACACTCAGACATTACCTCAAAGTTCATAATCTTTATACTACGCGTCTTGCTTAAATACAAATAAACTCTGAGGTATTTACGCCGGGTACGGAACACTCAGACATTACCTCAAAGTTCATAATCTTTATACTACGCGTCTTGCTTTATCTTGCACGAGATTATCTCATCCATTACCGCCACGACGAATACCTATTGTGAATATTATTACCTTTGCCACCTTTTACATTTTAATCATCGCACACATTATTTGGGTTTCGGACTCACCACACACGTATAATTAGATAAGTTTAAGTACTTTTATAACGCTCGAGTTGCAATCACTTTTAACGGAGTTGAAATCGCCACGATATAATAATATGAAACGTTGTATTTTCCAAGTTTAAAATGTATATGACGCTCATCGTGTGTACTTTTGAACTATATTATAGGTATAACAAATCAAATTATGGCCAATATAAATATAATATTATGTAACAGTACAAAGAAACTCATTGAACCGAGCCTATCAATATATTAAAAATGTTTACCTTACTTTCGTGCATAATAATTAAATGAGATATGTATGTATTAAACTTTTAATGAGTTACATATTTCAGAGTGATTGAAACTGAAATTTTGGCGGGGGGAATTCCCACAATGGAATAAAATGTATGGAACGTCTGAAGTTCTCTCAGTGGTCTGTCTCTCCGATACGTAAATGGTTTCGTAGCTTGGGACATTATTTATATAATATGTATATTACTCCGTCGTCTTTCTTCTTAATTGCATTTTGATTTATATCACCGCCCCTTAACGAAATGCTTTCAACCATCATATACTTTTATAAAAAGGTCAAGTACAAATTCCAGTTTTTAAAAAGGAATTACATTTATCATTTGCCCCGTGTAGATTAACCAATTATGATAGTTGATATTAAGTTTGATACGATGTATTCATATAAAAGATCGAACAAAAGTATATTATATAAATGTAAAAATATATTATTAGATTGTTTTGTTTTGTTTTAAAATGTTATACGTTTAAAAAAAAACATTTCCATTTGATTTCAATTAGATTTTTCATTCAATGTACTGTTTATTTTGCTGTGGAAAAAACATCTCGCAGCTATTACATCGTCTGTTATTTTTGTACAATTGTAAAAAAACATCATTCTTTGTAAAAATCAGAAACCAAAATATTATATTTTCTTACTGACGAATTTCCAAAATTAGAAAAGTACACATTTGTCTTCTAAGTACCGTATAATAGAATTCGTAACAAAAATATGGTATTGTTCGGTGCCCCTTAGTTTACCAGATGAGGGGTTTTCCCTGAAAATCGTAAAGTGCATGATCTCTTACTGCAGTGTCTTATGTTTCTTTTTTTCTACTACCTAGCGGTGCGAAGGAGGTGATTTGTATCAACTATCAAGCCACGTCTGAACTTTGGCGAGCAAATCTCTATAGAACAGTTGCAGTCAAACATCGATGTGTGTGGTACGATTCGGGGGGGGGGGGGGCTCTTGCGCTTATGAGAAGCGGCGGCGTTCGGCACTGCACTTGCAAACTCGTGTGATAAACGAGTCCGGTTAATGACCTTGGTCAATTGTCTGCGATAGATGTGTTTCAAGGACTCGACGTTTGGTAACCCCTGCGAGCGGGTGGTGGTCATTCCAATTAAAAAAAAAAAATAAAAACGGAATAATAATAAAATAAATAATATAACGATAAAAATAAACTGGGCCGCGACCGGTCGTCGCACGGCGGGGGGTGGTGGAGTTCCGCGGCTGCGCGGGGGCGAATCGTTCGCCTTATGCAAAAATTGAATGGGAATCTCCTCCGGTCCCGCGAGACCCCCTCCCTCTTCACACAGACGCACACGCACACACACCTACACTCACACAAAAACACACACACACCCGTCCCCACCAGCGGACCAACGACAGGCGTCGTCGTGCGTGTGCACTAGTCGCCGGCGGACCGGTTGCGTGCCGGCCAGCCGCGCGGCGTGACCTGTCGCCGGGCGACATTGCCAAAAAGCCGACGCCGCCGCCGCTTGATTGTACGGCGGGCGGTCGGTCGGTCGTCGAGAGACTCGCCGCATTCCTGAGCGCCGATCCAGTTATCGCAGCAGCGGCAGCGACCGTCTCCTCCACCGCCACCACCTCCATCCACCACCATTGGACCGAGTTCGATATCGGTCGGACAGACGGACTGTCGTGGGGGGGGGGAATTCGTTTATAAAATATGCCGCCGCCCTCTATGTCTTTGCGTGTGCGCGCGCGCGCCTGGACAGCGTACGACGAGCCCGGACAATGGAAGTCACGAGAAAGTCTTATACTTATATTGTAATAATAATATATTATATTATTATTGCTATTGCATACGGACAACGATAATAATTTACCATCGGCTCGCGTGTTCATACGATTATTGTTGCGTATTTTCGTATTTTCGTATATTATTATAATATTATATATAGTAATAATACATTTAAAAAGTATATATTATTATATATATTTACCGGGCCGGGGGCCTAACTTATAATATATTGCGTGCAGATGTTCGACTTTGCTGCTGCTTATTCAGGATTCCACCCGAATCGAAGGACTATTGTATCGCAGATTTCAGGGGTCGACCATTGTCCCGAGCTGCAGATTTGATTTTTGCCATATTCCCACTCACCGAAACACCACCCACTCACCCACCCACCAATAGCCGCGGCGTCGCGCTCTTTCTTTCTCGAGTTTCATAATAGGCAGGTATCTATGTTTTAGTTTATGACGCCCTGTCAGCTATAATAGTTATGACGTAACAACAACCGCATACCGTTGTTTTTAGATCGATTTGATCGATTCGTTTAAGGGAGTTCCATTTTAAGGAGTAAAAACTTGGCATCTTATATTTTAGTTCATATGGGTCTTGTGAATGTGTTGAAAGTAAATGAACATTAGTGTGTGTAATTCGTAGTACCGATCACGTTATATAGGGGCATCATAATACTTCTGTCATTTTACCTACTCGCATGCACATGTCACCATTATTATTACTTTATAAAATTACAAACTTTTTTTTTTCAAAAAATACCACTAGTGACTTTAATCATTACCCTCAGTAAGATGTTCCGATTTAAATTTTGAAAGCAGATTTGAATTCTCCTTTAAATTTACTATGCTTGGACTGTCGTACATTTTTCATATTCTATATCAACGTATTTAAATTTGAATTATGAATAATATGATTTATTTTTACTATTTTTGTTAGTAAATTTCTAAGTAAAAAAAATAAAATTCAGAAAAACGAAATAGTCAAAGCATAGATAATTTAATCTGCTTTCAAAATTAATATCAGAACTTTATATTGGGCGTAGTGATTGAAGTCGTGAGCTATGTTTTCGACCGAAAATTAATTACGCTCCAGCCTCCTTATTATATAATATTATAATATGCTCAATAGTTGAGACTAGATAAATATAATATTGCAGAATTATATTATCCACGGCCAAATAATAACATTTATTATAGCTGCAGTTGTGTCGTTTATTTGCAATCTGATTTTAAATAATTTACAAAAGTTCCCCTCGTTTTGTAGCTTATTAAATTTCTATATACTTTTCATTTCGAAAATAATGATAATGATTAGCCTATTATTATATACTATTTATAATAAAGTAATATGTAAATACTAAATTTGACGTATCGTGGCGACATTTTGAATCCCGTCATTATAATATGTATATAACTTTGATATTGCCAAATTATATTTGTACCTTTGAAAAGATAGAAATTACTGAATCTTAAGAGGACGTCTCACCCGCATGTGTTGTCTCCGTCTTACACACATACGACATACCAAATGTTCGTTGGCTAGTTTCAATAGGAAATTGTCAGTTTTTATATTAGAGTGAATTGACCTATTATCAAACTTTTAGGTAACAACATTATCTGTGTTCTCTCGTTGGTTTTTTACGATATTTTAATTTTTAAGTGAGTTATGAACATTTTAGAATATGAATACTTTACATACCCATAACTCACTTAAACATTAAAATATCGTAAAAAACCAACGAGAGAACACAGATAATGTTGTTACCTAAAAATTTGATAATAGGTTGATTCACTCTAATATCAAAACTGACAATACCCTATTGAAACTAGCAAACGAAAATTTGCTATGTCGTACGTGTGTAAGACGGAGACAACACATCCGGGTGAGACGTCCTCTTAAATTAAATATGAATAGCATAATTAAACGCAAGTTCGAAAATACAATTTTTTTCTTTGAATACAATATAACGATGTAGTCAACATTTTGAGTTGGACTTTTCTGAGAACCTCTTAACCTCAAGTATCATATTACTGGCATAATATAATATCTGCTGATAAAATTGAGTTCAATAACACAATAATTTTTGATACCACAATGACGCTTAAATTTTTTTTTTAAAGATATTTTGTATGCATTTTGATGATTTTTTATGATTTTTAAGTAAAAAATATAGAAGCAAATGTCATTAAAAAATATTAACATAAAAGCGACATTACATTATTTCTTTTTTATTTAATTTATTATAATTTTCAAGGTTTTACAATCGAGCTTAGATTTTAAGCTGAGTGAGTCTGCTCCTACAGTGATATGTTTATTCTCTAGACAAATTCCTCATGTTATATTGTGTATTATTATTTCAAACAATAATAAAACACTGTCTGTGCCAAGGTGAGCTGTAAGTGAGCGACGCTCAACGCGTAATCCTCGCGTATCTTTTCTATATACTTTTTAATTTTTGGATATCCTTTTAAGTTCTCTAATTAACACACCCGTGTGAAAAGAGTGATGTCTATAATAAATTTACCGTTCACTCTTTAGAATAGTA